ATATAAACATTGCACGACTCGAGAGGCAGCACGACAGAGAGGAGCAAAGTGGTCGCAAAGTGGTCACGTTGCCAAGCGCCGCTGATCAAAACAGGATAATGAAAAACCAAAACAACAGCTAAACCAGGACTAAATCAGGACTGACACCGTGCTTGTGAACATAATAAAGTGACATGTTACGATCGGTGAACTCAAGTGTTATTATTGATTTTTGTCGCGCATGCGTACTTGTGTACCCCTGTATAACTTTAATATCTACAGTATTTGGTATAACCGTCTCATTCGCGAGTGTTTTCGCGGGTGTTTGTGTTTGTGTACGTGTAATGTGAAAGTGTATGTAATATTAAACTAAAATGTCTTCACATTTCGACTGTGGGTGTGACAGTATTTCCATTGATGACCCGCAATTGTCACGGCTAAAGGTAAAATACTTATGATAATAAAGGTTTATTCATGAATTATGAATTGTAATGGTAAAACAGTCTATGGGTAAAACAGACCGCGGGATTTTGCTAATGTCAATTGCTAATGTGCAGCTTCATTTATAGATTAATTTCTGACTTATTGTAAAATTTCAAAGTTTGAAACTATATAAATGCTTGATAAAAACAACATATAAAACAGGACTTACTCAAATTTAAACACTTTTTCAGGTCCTCATTGAGTCCATTCCACAAACTCACTCCTCTCACAGAAATACACACAGACTTAAGTGTTGTTCTGACTCGTGGTTGGTATAATCTATGGACTCTTCTTAAACTCACTTGGAGCTGAGTGTCTCTATCACAAAAAAGATTTTGGATATTTGCTGGAAGAGATTGTTTTGATACCTTGAACATAACTTGTGCAGTTTTATAATTGACAATTAATAAATGTTTTGGTATTAACATTTTATTTTCAAATGGTCAGGTCAACTAATGCTCATCTACCAGAATTCCCAATGATTGTGAATATGCGATATATTCACAATCATCCGATCAACTGTGCTGATGCCCTGAAACACCGGGATGTTTCTGATGAAGTGAAAGAGACATTTTTGAAGTTGTTCAAAGCAGGCCATACTCCTTCATCAGCACTTGAGATTCACAAGTATGATATGCAGACCGAAGATCAAGATGACTTTGTTTTCAACAGTGCTGACAGAGCTAAAATACCAGACCTTCAATGGTGTTATAGGTAAGACAGTGATTAAAGGAAATAATTCAGCCCACATGTATTTAACACTGAACAATGTAAATTTCAATGAACGCTTGTCTAATTGCAGGCTTTACTACTCAACTGCTCAAAAAGCATATGGTGGTTGCAATGTGAACATGTTGGAGAACTTGGAATCGTTAATTGAGCGCCTCAATTTGGAGCATGGGGAGACTGTGATAAAGATGAATGTTACAATTGACAACCAGTTGATCGTCGCAATGTGCACACCGTTAATGAAAAGAGTCCTTCAAATGGTAGAGCAGAGCGGTGAAATGATTTTTATGGACTCTTCTGGAAATATGGATCGTCATAATCTTCGTGTGTTTTTATTGATGACTCATAGTTGTTGTGGTGGTCTTCCAATTGGTTGTCTAATCACAACAACCGAATCCCAAAACACCATCAAAGCGGCTCTGGACTTGTACAAGTCTTTTCTGCCTGATGGCGCTTTTTATGGGAGAGGTTGCTTGGGCCCACAGGTTTTTATGACTGATGACAGTGATGCTGAACGAGGTGCTCTTCAGGAGGCTTTTCCAGAGTCAAGTTTGCTTTTGTGTGTTTTCCATGTTCTACAAGCAGCCTGGCGATGGCTCTGGGATGCTAAAAGCCAGGTACCACTGAAACATAGGCAGCAGTTGTTTTCACATATAAAATATATGATGTATGCAGACACAAAAGCCTCACTGGAGTCCAAGTTTCAGGCCATACTGACTGATGAACTGGCTTGTGCCTATCCGTCCTATTTGGCATATGTTAAAAAATCTTATGACCGTAGGAATTTGTGGGCCATTTGTTACAGAGAAAACATGCCTACTCGAGGGAATCATACCAACAACTACTGTGAGGCTGCTGTGAGAGTCCTAAAAGAGAAAGTCCTCTTTCGGATGAAAGCATTTAACACACTTCAACTGGTGGACTTTATCATGACCAGAATGGAGTCTTTATATGCACGGCGTCTGATTGGAGTGGCCAATAACAGAATGGACATGGCAAGACATTCGAAATACTTACCTGATTGCAAGACCATCAACTTTGATAGTATCAGCCAAATTGCCCCGAAGTTGTACAGTGTGCCCAGTGAGAGGGAAAAGGACAAATATTACTGTGTTGATGTGGACATGGGGCTATGTACATGCCATGTGGGGATGAACGGTGGCCCCTGCAAACACCAGGCAGCAGTTGTGAAGCGGTTCAAGGTGGAAACTCTGAACATGGTACCAGTTAATTCACCTGAACGTAGGCTTGTGTTCTACAAAATTGCAACAGGAAAAGACAATGTCTCATTAGAGTGGTTTTCCTCATTGACACAGAGTGTCCCCCTGAATGAAGAGCAGCAGGGTGACTCTCTCGGTACTGAGAGTGATGTTATACCACTAGAAAATCCCCCAATCACTACACCAGCAGCCATACATGCAAGGGATGCCACAGTGGAAAGTCACATCCTTGATTCTGACTCTGAGGTTCAACAAGTGAATGACAATTTGAGAGCATTCAGAGACTTGTTGATGAACAAAGTAAAACATGATCCAGTAACTTTTCTACCTGCAGTCAAAGACTTTCTTGTCAGTTCACACAACCTGAGAACAGACTCTGCACTTATTTCAGCATTACATACATTTGGCAAATATTCTGGTGCTGGAAGTGTCATTAATCGTAAACACAAATCACGGTTGGCGGGTTTAAAGCATATAGGTGTGCAGCCAACTGCTGTAGCTCGCAGAAAGAAGGCTGCACTTGGAGGTCGTAAGTGTGTAACTAGTGGAAGGCCGACAAAACGATCCTTTGTAGTAGAGCATGGCTATACAAAGGCAGCTTTCAAAAGAAAAGCTACGGTGGATCTGAAATGTGGACTACTCCCACCAAAACAGAAGTTTGCTGCTCCCCATAACCTATCTGAATGTGTCAACACAAATCAGAGTCTTGGGAAGACACATAGCAAGCAGTAGTGGTTTTGGTCTACTTTGTGTATATTTTTGTAAACAACTTATACGCTTTTGGCTCTGGTTTGTTGTGATTTTGAACAACTGACACTGTGTTTGACAGTTATCTTGTCAATTTTAGTGTATTTTTTGTTTATTTTTGTAAACAGTTGATGTACTTTTAATCTGAAACAAAATGTTTGTGTCTTGTTAAATGAAAACAAAAAATGAACACTTTCAACATTGTTTGTTATTATTATTGTAAATTATATATACATGGTATATGTAATACAGTATGTACAATTCGCATGTAAATTAATAAATGGTTTATTTTTAGGTTGTAATGTAATTTACAGTCGTCTGCCGGCGCGCTGAACGTGTCACTTCAGACTAGCTTTCTGATTGGCTGAAATCGGTCCCTGTGGCAGAACCTACCTACGAATAAAATACTCGCTGCCCGGCCTCGAGCTCGGGCGACGTACAGGTCCTGCAGCGACCTGTCCTGCAACTCAAGTCAGACTTATGACTTATGTCTGTTTTTTATCATTTATTATTAGTGTTATGTAAGAAAATCCAAATAATGACTGTACAATGTAATAGTAATAATAATAATGATCAAATTGATACTACTACTACTGTATACTAGTGCTAATACTAGTACTGCAAAAATATATAGTATTAATACTAATAATGTGATAATGAGAAAATGTATTTTGGGAAAAACAAAGGACCTAAAACATAGTGAGTGATTGTTTTTATTAAACTTCATTGAGTGATGTAAAAATCATTAAAAACGGGCAGTTAAAAGGTGACGTCATCCTGATCGGGAGTTTCAGCCCTGAGTGAATTATTTACATTATGAACATATCCCTCCAGTAGATGGCGGTAGCGTACAGCAGAAGGACACATGGTCAGAGCCCGGTCCTTCAGAGGCTTGTCCCTGAAGGTGAGAAACAGTCTCAGGATCATTATGGTCAAGGCCATGGGGTCAAGGCCATGGGGTCAAGGCCATGGGGGTCAAGACCCACGTGAAGGACGCACACTTCAGGATGACATCACTGACGCTGACACCGGGGATTTTCACAGGTCTACAACTGTCTGTGGTTAGTACCAGGTCAGGGGGGGAAGGATGGGAGGGAGGGAGGGAGAGTGGGAGGGGGAGGGAGAGAGAGTGGGGGAGAGAGAGGGATGGTAGGGAGGAAGAGAGCAAGAGGGAGAGAGTGAGAGTGGGGGAGAGGGATAGAAGGGAGGGAGAGAGGGGGAGTGAGGGGAAGAGAGAGAGCGGGAGGGGCGGAGAGGGATTGGAGGGAAAGGGGGTGAGACAGGGAATGAGTGAGAGGGAGAGTTAGGGAGAAAGTGAGTGAGGGAGTGAGAGGAGAAGAGAGGGAGTGATGGAGTGAGAGAGGGAGAAAGATAGTGTGTGGGAAAGAATGCATTTTTTTTTTTTTTACTGAATTATAATTGTAAGTTGATGTTTTATGGCTATATGTTAATGCAATAGTAACTTGTGTTTGTCCTCAAAGAAAAAGTCTTGAAAGGCTAAGATTGTAAACAAATAAAAGACCATATGTTTACTTTACTGCGAGTCACTATTTGACTCTTTGGGCTGAACGCTGTTTGGCTCAGGAGGCACTTTCCTTTGTCACTTTCTCTGGAAAAGGCCAAAAATACATCCATGTGACCTGCAGCGATGGAGAGCCAACTGTTGTGTTTTGTGCTTTGAAACTTAGGTACCACAGCTTTAATTTGCATATAATTGTCCTTTTATCAGGCAGACCCACTCACATTTATTGTTGCATGTTTTACCAGTGGGACGTATCCTTAACTTAATCTTTCTGACCCAGAACTTTCGTCACGCATTTCTACCCTCCACAAATGAAGTCATTATTGTTGCAGTACCGCACGTGGCCGCTGGGGGAGCCGCGCGCTCGGATCCATACGCCGCTCTCCGCTCTCCGCGACCACGTCCAGCTCCGCCTTTACGTCCAACAAACCCTCAGCATGAAGTTGGATATTTGGCCCACTATTCCTCACCACCGCTCGCTTCTCACGGACTTTGCATGTGCTCCCGTTAGCGGCAAGTGACGTCCAGTGCCGGGGGGAGGCAGGGAGGGAGCAGTGGGAGGGGGCGCAGCAGCAGACAGACCCTGGCGGAGAGAAAGCAGCCTGGACCCGGGGAACAATAGAGAGGAGCCGAGCCAGAGCTGGAAACGCCAAAAACATCCAGACTGGAAGAAAGCGCGTTGCAGCCCGGGGGGAGGTGGAGGAGGGCGGCCAGGCGGACCCCGCACGCCTGAACCATGAGCGCCACACGGACAGACTGAATTACACTTTTAATCCTGTATCTTTCTTTGTCGGTGGATTGTATTGGAAGAAGCGGCATGAACCCTGCAGAAGCGACAGAGGAGGCGCCCAGCAGCGACCCAGACACGGATGCCTTCTACAAGTCAGGTATTTACCATTCTCTCTGGATTATGCAGATCTACAGCGGGATTGGCGTCTTTTGCAATGTCTGAGGGTTTCATTGGGACCAGTGAGTGACAGTCATGGATCCTGATGCTGCTGCTGCTGCTGCTGCTGCCGCGGTGGAGGTGGAGGAGGAGGAGGAGGAGGAGGTGGTGGGGATCTACAAAAGAAAGAAGGGGAATCATGGAGGAGGTGCTGGAAATGTCAGTAAATGTCTTCAAGATGCCCCAGAATGACGTGTGTGTCCAGTGTGTGTTGATGGGCTCGGGAGGGTGTGTAAACGCGGCTTTATGGGCTGCTAAAGGAGGATTAAGAAGTGAGACAATTGAAAGTGGTAATGGGGCAGAAACTGTCTCCACCGCAGGGTCTCTCTCTCAGATGTTTTTTGTTTTACTGAGAATGATTTGCAGTGAGATTATTATTGAGTCTCTCTGTGTCCAATCTCCACCTCTCACTGTAATACTCCAGACCTCAGACTACTTCATACATGCAGTATTATCATGATCATGTAATCCAGGAGGATACACTACAATGTTTTAGAAAAAAGCCACAACTTGCACAGATTAGACCCTGTACCATTTTGGTCTCATTTTACCTAATTATTATCAATTAACTTGATAGTTTTGTTTAGATAAATATCACAACAGCAACAATTAAAACCCCTGATTAACAAGAAATATGCCATAGAGTAGAAGGAGGACCAATTGTCTGTAAATGTTTTTAAGATTAAGATTAAGAGATTAAGATTAAGACATCCCTTATTATTCCAGTGTTGCATCAAAAGTTACAGAACAGTATGAACGAGGCACACACAGCGGAAAAGACAAATGAACAATAACTTATTATCTCATTAACTGCAGCCGTTTTTGATGATTTCACTGATTCTCAAGACCCACAGAATATTATTTCCTAAGACTGTGTGAAAAATGAAACCAGATTCTGAAAGACTGGATTGTCTACTTTCATCTGCAAAAATAAGTTTGTTTGTAGCTGTTTTTATTCTCCTGTGATCCGCAGCGGAACAGAGGCTCTCAGGCAAATACGTCATCAATGAGTTAAACACAGAACAACATGTCTAACTCTGCATCAAAGAAACACGTTTACTTTCTTTCTTGGACATAATAATGATAACAAAGAAGAGTATAAAGTTTTGTGCTCTTTCATAACTCGTTGATGAGTTTGAGACACAGAGTTTGAGAACGATGAAGTGTTAAACTGATTTGGCGTCTGTGGAACTTGTGATGGACACGATGAGACCAGATGGACGAGAAACACGCCCATGTGTCGCTCCTGTCAGTACTGTCAATCATGTTATGTTAATTATGTTATGTTAATTATGTTATGACGTTTATTGTTTATGTTAATTGTTTATGTTAATTATGGCCCTCTTCACTCCTTGAGCTGCTGCGACGGCTTCATGTTTATGAGCCACAAGTTTGTCACGACAGAACTTTGTCTCGGGTCATTTCTATAAAAACAAGAGCAAACTCTGAAACAACTCAAGAATCTGACCTTTAAAAGTTTAGTATTTTTTTCCCTCCTCCTTTTCGAGCTGAATAATTGTAGATAAAGTTCATTTATAAAAACAGATTGATTTTGTAGATGTTAAGCTATTATTGTTGCTGATTGTATAGTTAAATTATGTTTGTGTTTTTGTTCAATTCACAGGAGTTATATACTGTACATATAGACAGGAGTTATATACTGTACATATAGGACAGGAGTTATATACTGTACATATAGGACAGAGTTATATACTGTACATATAGACAGGAGTTATAGACTGTACATATAGACAGGAGTTATATACTGTACATATAGACAGGAGTTATATACTGTACATATAGAGCAGGAGTTATATACTGTACATATAGAGCAGGAGTTATATACTGTACATATAGAGCAGGAGTTATATACTGTACATATAGGACAGGAGTTATATACTGTACATATAGAACAGAGTTATATACTGTACATATAGGACAGGAGTTATATACTGTACATATAGAGCAGGAGTTATATACTGTACATATAGGACAGGAGTTATATACTGTACATATAGGACAGAGTTATATACTGTACATATAGGACAGAGTTATATACTGTACATATAGACAGGAGTTATATACTGTACATATAGGACAGAGTTATATACTGTACATATAGGACAGAGTTATATACTGTACATATAGACAGGAGTTATATACTGTACATATAGAACAGAGTTATAAACTGTACATATAGACAGGAGTTATATACTGTACATATAGGACAGAGTTATATACTGTACATATAGGACAGGAGTTATATACTGTACATATAGGACAGAGTTATATACTGTACATATAGGACAGAGTTATATACTGTACATATAGACAGGAGTTATATACTGTACATATAGGACAGGAGTTATATACTCTACATATAGGACAGAGTTATATACTGTACATATAGGACAGAGTTATATACTGTACATATAGGACAGAGTTATATACTGTACATATAGACAGGAGTTATATACTGTACATATAGGACAGGAGTTATATACTGTACATATAGACAGGAGTTATATACTGTACATATAGGACAGGAGTTATATACTGTACATATAGGACAGGAGTTATATACTGTACATATAGACAGGAGTTATATACTGTACATATAGACAGGAGTTGTATACTGTACATATAGGACAGAGTTATATACTGTACATATAGGACAGAGTTATATACTGTACATATAGACAGGAGTTATATACTGTACATATAGACAGGAGTTGTATACTGTACATATAGGACAGGAGTTATATACTGTACATATAGGACAGGAGTTATATACTGTACATATAGGACAGAGTTATATACTGTACATATAGACAGGAGTTATATACTGTACATATAGACAGGAGTTGTATACTGTACATATAGGACAGGAGTTATATACTGTACATATAGGACAGGAGTTATATACTGTACATATAGACAGGAGTTATATACTGTACATATAGACAGGAGTTATATACTGTACATAAAGGACAGAGTTATATACTGTACATATAGGACAGAGTTATATACTGTACATATAGGACAGGAGTTATATACTGTACATATAGGACAGAGTTATATACTGTACATATAGGACAGAGTTATATACTGTACATATAGGACAGGAGTTATATACTATACATATAGGACAGGAGTTATATACTGTACATATAGGACAGAGTTATATACTGTACATATAGGACAGGAGTTATATACTGTACATATAGGACAGGAGTTATATACTGTACATATAGGACAGGAGTTATATACTGTACATATAGGACAGGAGTTATATACTGTACATATAGGACAGGAGTTATATACTGTACATATAGACAGGAGTTATATACTGTACATATAGGACAGGAGTTATATACTGTACATATAGGACAGGAGTTATATACTGTACATATAGGACAGGAGTTATATACTGTACATATAGGACAGGAGTTATATACTGTACATATAGACAGGAGTTATATACTGTACATATAGACAGGAGTTATATACTGTACATATAGACAGGAGTTATACACAGCTGTATGATACACAGGATAAACATACACACTTTTACACACATCAGACTTCAACATTGAACCCAAATGATCTTTCTCCAACAAACACACACTGAGACTTGTTCTACTGTTGTTCTTGTGTTTCATTATCAGACTTGTGTGTTTCCGCCTCTGCACAAACCTTTGCATCCTCCAACTATAACAGATTATTGGTGTTGGTCACGAGACGATGGATGATAGTATTTAACTCCGAAAGCTCTGAGATCTGTTCGTCTTAAAGTTAGAGTCGTCCACGTCTATGTCGCAGAAGATTTTCTTGGTGAAAAACAGGATTCCAGAGTTTATGACAGTCTCATTCTGACAAACACAAAGTACAGGTTCTGTCACAAGTATTTTACACTTCCATCTATCCACAGAGAGTCACTCCGATTGTGTGTAAACTACCACTGGTGCAGGTTGTGTGTCTCTGGTTAGTTGGTTGTGTGTCTCTGGTTAGTTGGTTGTGTATCTCTGGTTAGTTGGTTGTGTGTCTCTGGTTAGCAGGTTGTGTGTCTCTGGTTAGCAGGTTGTGTGTCTCTGGTTAGCAGGTTGTGTGTCTCTGGTTAGTTGGTTGTGTGTCTCTGGTTAGTTGGTTGTGTGTCTCTGGTTAGTTGGTTGTGTGTCTCTGGTTAGCAGGTTGTGTGTCTCTGGTTAGCTGGTTGTGGGTCTCTGGTTAGTTGGTTGTGGGTCTCTGGTTAGTTGGTTGTGTGTCTCTGGTTAGTTGGTTGTGTGTCTCTGGTTAGCAGGTTGTGTGTCTCTGGTTAGTTGGTTGTGTGTCTCTGGTTAGTTGGTTGTGTGTCTCTGGTTAGTTGGTTGTGTGTCTCTGGTTAGTTGGTTGTGTGTCTCTGGTTAGTTGGTTGTGTGTCTCTGGTTAGCAGGTTGTGTGTCTCTGGTTAGCAGGTTGTGTGTCTCTGGTTAGCAGGTTGTGTGTCTCTGGTTAGTTGGTTGTGTGTCTCTGGTTAGTTGGTTGTGTGTCTCTGGTTAGTTGGTTGTGTGTCTCTGGTTAGTTGGTTGTGTGTCTCTGGTTAGCAGGTTGTGTGTCTCTGGTTAGCTGGTTGTGGGTCTCTGGTTAGTTGGTTGTGGGTCTCTGGTTAGTTGGTTGTGTGTCTCTGGTTAGTTGGTTGTGTGTCTCTGGTTAGCAAGTTGTGTGTCTCTGGTT